CTATGTACACTTTTCGATCTAGCAAGAAGACTCAGGATTTCACCATGCTTCAGAATTTCAATTTGTATGATCTCAGCATCTGACTTTTAAAGTCAAACTGTAGTTTTAAGATATAATGCTTTCAGATCCTGAGGGAATTGAAGACATCCGCCTCTGACACATACTGTTCTCCACACCAGTCTCTTTGTTTGAGATGGGGTTGAAACTTGGGGCCTCTGGGGAGTCATTGTGATCGCTAGCTCAGAAAATCCACTCTTTTGTATCCTGCTCATCTTTAGGTGCTCTGCCAACTGCAAATTAGGAGTCAGCTTTTTAGTCTTCCATGTAATTGTTTTCCTCTCCTGCATTCACACATTTGAAGTCATATAGCTATTTTCAGTGGCCTTGAAAGTGAGGCCCTTACTGACATGGTTAGTAGCAGACTTGGTAGTCCTGGGGTAAAGGTTGGAATTGATTATCTTTTAAAGGTCTTTTTAAACCTTGTTGATTCTCTGATTCTATGAACTATAGCACCCTCAAAAGTTGATATGTTCCTGTAGGTATTTCTCTGTGCAGACAGGGATGGATACTAATACTGAGGTAAATTTTCCCCTCAGCTGATGCCCGCTACATAAACTCTGTGACAGCACTCATTGTCTTGGAAATGCAAAGGAAAGCAATATAGCTTTAGCTCCCATTAGCATGGCTGGTATTTATAAAATCTAGGATGCATGAGATACTCGAGCTGGAAGAAATCGTGATATTTTAGGCTCATTAATAATAGGAATGGTGTTGAGTTTCAGAGGTCTATCAGTGAAATATAATAAATACAGTTCTACGGGGTAGAAATGGACAAATAAAATAAGATATCAGGAAACGATTCACCTCATAATACAGAAAATAATATAGTTCTGTTTCTGTTGTGTTTTTAACCCTCTTTTGTTCTCTATGCTGTAAAACAGAAAAAGGAAAGAATACAAAATATAGTTGTGTGTGAGGCAATAAGTTATTTGGGTTTCATGAAATTTCTAAGTAATTGTACTTTGAAAGCAAAATCTATGTAATCTAAGCATTTAGCAATGGTGAGAGTAATTTTTTCCTTCATCTCAAAAACTTGAGTCTTGACAGTTCATTTTCTTTCCTCCTCCCCAGCTGCTGGGATATTAAGCAAACATCATGGCAGATAAGACTATGCATTTAAGTGACCCAGCAAAGTGAGCTATGTTTTCAAGTCTGAAAAACTTACTTCCCTTACTCTTAAATTTTTCAGTATGGAAGAAAAAGAATGGCATTAGGTGTGTGTTAGAAGTTTTCAGTTAGATACTGAAAAGAGAAAAAATGATGTGTGCATTCTTCTACATGTGAAATAAAAGTTAAGTTCTGTTCAGTGTTGAAGCAATATCATTACATAGTCCAAATATTTATGGAAACCAAGAAAAAACATCTCTCAAATGCATACTTTGTCTCTGAGGAATAATCCTTCACATTACACTGAGGTCTGAGAAACTAGATGTGTTTTGTTCAAAGTGAAAAGGATGAAAAAAATTTGCTTTTGTTTTACACCCGCAATGTTTACGATTACCTTGGGGCTCCAGAATTGTAGCTTGACCAAATTCATTGAAAGTTCACCTGAAAATACATTAATTCACTGAAGTTCACTTTTCTATGAGACCTATGCATCTTTACTATGATATCCTAAGAAGTGTACCTGATCATTATATATATACAGAATATATATATATATATACACAATCTCCCTTTCCCCAGCTAATTATTAATGAAATGGTAATTCCTAGTTTCTCAAGCTGTCAGTATCAATCAAATTTGAAAGAAGTTTTTGGTTTAGGTGTGTATATGGAAGGGTGTATTCTGAAAATTCCTAGCCCTCTGTCCCTTTCTGCTGTCAGAATCAAAAGTATTAACTTAAACTGCCAGTACAATACTTGTGAGCATTGTACAGTAAAACCTGAATCTGAAATATCTTATATGGTGTATATGGGGGTGGGGAAAGAAGATATTAAATATTATACCAACACCAAGGCTTCTGGAAGGGATTTGAGTGAATCTGAGAATGTAACAGACCAACATGTGGTACATGGGTTTCTTATAAGATCAGCAATATGAATTGCGAAGACTTTGAGAAGAACCTTTTAATCAGGGTTTGAAAGTAAAATGAACACTGATGTGCTTTATTAAGAGTATGGATTTCCTTGCTAATGGGAAAAGCTCTTTTACCTAATTTTAGAGTGAAAAAAAAACTGTAATTTCCTTGTTCCCATTTAACAAGAGGCTGTTCTATAGCAACTTGGAGATGGCAGTTCATTATCTGATTTTGTGTTGTCTTTGAGGACCTAATCAAATGTGATTAATCTAGTAACACTGTAAATTTATTGATTTAGGGATTTGATTTAAGTTACAGTCATGACAAGGATAGTTATTCATCTCCTGGTTGTTATAAAAATAAGCGGTACTTTGGGCTTAAGCAGTAGGCTTACTGTGTTTTAATTTTACTTACTTGGGCTTTGGTAAAAATCGTCAAAATATAGAGAGTTGGGGGTTTTGTCAGTTTTTAGCAGTGTAGGTTTAAAGGGAGGAGACAAATTAGTAGATGACCTGGAGACTCTTTGGGCCACCCACAGAGCTGAAATGTTTGTCACTCAGAGGAGGCATTCTACTTGGAGTCAACTTCAATCTAAATCAGCCTGTCTTGAACATTATGAGTAATTCTTGGTGTTGATATTTTCTCTCAAACCTCCTTATGGTTTACAGACTTTTAAGTAGACAGTCCTTGAGAAAAATATTAATCTAAAAATAATAACTTTCCAAGAAAATTAAAATAGCCTTTACCTTCCCTACAACCAACAGTTAGGAGTGGATGGTCATAGGAATAGTCCGTGTTATGCAGAGGAGAGCTGCTCATCAGGACACGTGTTCTTCCAGGTATTTGATTGCTATTGCATATATTAATTATCCATATAACTGAGGTACTACAGGGTGGTGTTCTGAGCTGTTTCAACTGTTTTCTAAGACTTCCCTTAATTTAAAATAGCCACCTCCTGGAACTGCAGTAGTTCAGAAATCCCACTGTAGGCAGCACAGGATTTCTGAGGCTAGCAGTTCACAGGGTCAGCCTAATTTGAAGGCAAGCAATTTTGATGTGCACGGGATTCTGAATGCGGGCTGACAAAGTACCTTTTCCCATGTCACTCCATCCCACATGAGGAACTGTTGGGTAGCTCAGGAGTGAGGATGCAAGCAAGTTATGGCAGTCCTGGCTCACTCAAGCCTTAACATGGTCATGCAGCTTGTTTAAAAAAGTAGTTGTATCTGTACTTCCAGAGGAGCTGGGTATGAGTCAGGCTCACTAAGGAATGCAATTTTTATGCTGACACTTCATATAACATTGGTTTCAGAGTAACGGGTGTTAATGCTGAATATTGTCTGCATTGTTCTGATAATGACATCAGAAAAAAACATGCTGCAAATGTGTTTGTCTAGCCAGAGGGAGCTGTGATTATTTCCTGTCTCTCAGGAGAGCATTATTAAAATAAAGCCTCTTAGTTCCAGGTCTGGTATGAATAGCTGAGGTAGCCAAATTTGTGCATCTCTCTTCACATAATGGAAGGAGTTTTAAGACTAAGGCTTCACAGTACGAAGCAGATGCAGTCTTTCTTCAGGTGAAAAAATTCAAATCTTTTTCAGATTCCTTTCATTCTGTATAAACTTGAATTTACCACTGTGTCAGGGTCCATAAATCTCTCACTTTCTACATGTGTATGTGAGGGGGAAAGCCTTCTCCTACATACGATTAACAAGTTAATATAATGTTTCTAATTGCTTATGTGAAATGAGCCTCCATGTTTATGAACTGTTACATTTATTAAGGTGTCTCAAAGTCTCTAAATGAGGTGGTTAGGATTAACCAGTGCTGTCCAGTGATAACGAACAGAAAAAAGAATATTAATCATCCTAAAGCAAACCTGAGAATCAAAGTTCTCAGCAAGGTTAGTTCTCTGCCTTTAATGACCAGCTTTGTGGAACACTGGAATGATGTCCTTTTAAATTGAAAAAATAATAGTCTACAAATCAACTTTACATTTTTCCTGCTCCATCAAAATTCAACTTAGTAGTCTATAGTCACATACATGGTTGATTATTCAGATTTTTGGGGAAAAGTAATTTATAATAGAGCAAAAAAGAAAATTTAGAGTCTGTGTTTATGAGCACTGAAAATAAATGCACAGACAGAGGCAGGTTTGGGTTTTGGTTCTCCTTATAGATGGCATTTGGGAAAGTCTTAACTTCCATAACTGAATTGTCAACTACTTTAGGACAGGTCTGTTGTGATATGTTGAACTTTTGAATCCTGTGTTCAGCATCATGTAGTATACAATCCTAAATTACAAGCACTAAATTCTGATTTTTATCTCAAATTACTATATACTTTGCTCCATAGTCTTCAGGAAACTGAGCTCAGTGGTAGTCATAAAACAACTATAATGTAGCTGTCTGCATAGTAATTCTACAATTTGAGTGAGGTTACAGTTCAGGGGAAGTTTTAGAGTTCATGTGAATAGACTTATTTGTTCCATCTGACCAATGATGAAAAGCCTAATTCTTATGTCTCTTGTCCCTTCTACAATGATGTAAGTCTTCTAATTTTAAAGTGAGATATTTAGTGTGATACAAATGAGGGCAGAATCAGTATGAATGCTTAAGTCAACAGTCATAAAGCAGAGACCAGTAGCTGAGAGCAGCTGTGCCACAAACATGAGTTAGAGAATCCACTAGCTTTCTTTAATCAGTGACTGTTTATGGCTACTTTCTGGGTGAATGAAGTTTTGATACAATCTTTGAGAGCATTAGAGGATTCATGTAGATCCATGACAACAGGCCTAAAATTAAGAATTTGCATTGGAAAATCAAGCTGACTGTGTTTTATTAGTATTCTGATGTCTTACTATCCTTGGTTTCTGTTTTTTTCTCCACTCTCTTCCCCCTTGCCTTCTTCTGTAAAACAGGGATTTGGGAAACAAGTGGATGTGTCATATATTGCCAAACATTACAACATGAGCAAAAGCAAAGTTGACAACCAGTTCTACAGCGTGGAAGTAGGTGACTCAACCTTCACAGTTCTCAAACGCTACCAGAACTTGAAACCTATTGGCTCTGGGGCTCAGGGAATAGTTTGGTAAGTATCAGCAGTTTCTCTTACGCTTTTAAAATAGGATTTTCCTTTTGCATTTCTTCACAGTTTGCTAGCCACAGACATTGTCTAAAATTGCAAAAATAAGGCAGGCACAGATATCCTGAGGCAGAAGGAGTCTAGTGGTTTGCTAATAAATTCTCTTGCTAGTGAGAATGGTAGCACTAGGTTTATTTCTTCACATAGCAAAATACGATTAGCAAGAAAGCAGGAGAAGGATCTTACCACAGTTGACATCTGTGACACTATTTCCAGTGGTAGCACAAATAATATCCCAAGTAAACCCTGTAATTTTAGTCTTTGTACAGCAGAAGTTACTGAGAGCAATATAGAAACTTGTCACATCCCATAGCATACTCAAGTCTTCAAAATGGAAGCCTTTCAAGCTGAGATAACTGCTAATGTTTTCTTTATTTTTTAGATGTTTCAGTGATGTGAATAATGTGAACAAAAGACACAAAATCAGTAGCTCTTCTAAATAATATGACTGGTTTATGGAATTTGAAATTATTGTGTTCAAAAGTTGTGATAGCCTACGTGGCTTTTTCCTCTGCATTTTTAGAGATATGTCTTACATTTCAGTGGACTGTATTTAAAAGACTCTGTGTGGGCATTTGTTACCTGTTTAATTACAAAGCATTAGAGTAACTAACATGATCAGAGTAACTTGATCAGAGAGGAAGTCTAATTCTACCTATCATCTTCAGCACTGCTCTTTTCTGACTTTTGTACAGTATGTGTTACCTTACAATTGGAGGTAGTGGTAAAGCAACAGATTTCTTTAATCTAGGGGCAAATGGATTCCGTGGATCATTGGCATTGGCACTGTAATTGACTGTGTAACAACAATTAGCAACCCATTCTTAGGTCTCAGTCTGTCACTTCCAGTGAAACAAGTCTGAAAACTGATCTAAATGATAAAGTATTTTATTTCATCTCTTAAAGAGTTAAAGGTTAGTTTAAAAGGGTTAAAGGTTAGTTTAAAGGTTCAAGGGTTGAAGATTATTTTAAATGTTTAGGGGTTAAAGATTAAAGTTTAAAGGTTAAGAAGGGTTAAAGGTTAGTTTAAAATCAACTTCGGGAAAGAAACATACACTGTGTTGAGTACTATTAATATTCATTTGCATTAGTCATCTACTTCCATATATAGTAATATGTTTTTTCTTACTACTTACTATTCTCTATTCCTTTTAGAGGAAAACCAGATTTTGCTGAACCTCTCTGCAACTGAATTTATGCAATGATCAATTATGAGCAGCAAAAAAACCCCAAAAACATAGAAGTTGAGCTAAATAGAATCAGTAAAACCCTGTGAATTTGTCTTTTGTACTAAGAGCAGGCAGGCAAAAATTAAGAAAATCAAATCAGAAAACAAGTAAGTTCAAGTGAAAGTTAACACAAATCTGAGCTGCATGGAGAGGCTATAAAAAGCACTTTATGGTTTGATGATACACATATATATTACATGATAAATGGAGTAGATAACGAATATTTTTGCTTATGCATTATATTGTAATCTACTTGTCATGAGGCATAATTTACCAGAAATACCTTAACAAACTATAAGCAAAGCATGAAGAACTGATGATGAAGTGGAAAAAAAAAAAAAAGAGGTGAGATAAATATATGTATCTTAGCTATAGGAAAACAATACTTGAGGAAAAAATAGTTATGTAAGTTTCTGTTCAGTAATAGTCACCATTATATAGTAATAAGTTTACTACGTAAGCTTAAATAGTGTAAGTTTCTATATTTAGAAACTATAGGTATTTTGATGGATATAGGTTTACACCTGGAAAAAGCAGATTAAGTGAAAAAATATTCTGAAAAACTGCCTATTTCTGCAATGCTGCTGGCTCTGTTGGCAGAAGTATTTTACCTGGCTCATCTTGTTCTTTTGCAAAAGGTAGCCATAAAAAGTGCCTCTATGAAAACAGTGGGAAAAACCTAGGTAGTGGTTTCTTTTCGAGCCAATGGCTCTGTCATACTTACTGAGTTGTTCATTGAGAAGCCTAACAGATCTGGAATGCAATTCTGTCTCAGTAACAGAATTAGCAGAAGTGTAGGAGCTGAATGGGTGATTTCTAACTCTTTCCTCTACCAAATGCAGATACAGGTAGGATAGCCCAGAGACTTTTAGGCTCAGACTTCTCATAGCATGCACTATTTCTGGATTTTCCTTCCAGATGATTGTAGGTAAAAGGACACTACCTGTTTTCTGGCTGTAGTGATGGGCTCCCCAGCTACTGGAGACAGCCTTAATGCATAGCAACATACGGTTTTATGGAGTAATAAAGGTAGAGTATTATTCATAAATGCTAACTACCCTTTCAGGCCTGAGCTGCCACCAGCAGTTGCAGCCTGCTACTTGACTAGTCTAGACATTTGCAGCTTGCCAAGTGGAGTCCATGCCTAGTACTTGGCCACAGAACTGTGATTTCCACAGCTTAAGAAAAATGGACCTATTTAATTGCAGATTTTTTAACAATTTAGCATCAGATCTCTCAGTACCTATCAGGTGCAAGGTATTCCATGTCAAGGACTGCCTCAGCACTAGCTTCAGGACCAAACTCCATTTGCTAGCAGCAGCCTCCCTCTTAATTTGGATGTGGGATTCGATTTGCACAATGTACTGGCTGCCTTATCACCTTACCAGGTATACTTGGGCAGGCAAACTGTCCACAGTCCAATAGGTAATTGTAGAGGCAAGGGAAGAGGGAGAAAAGACATGATGTTTAGATAGTTCAGATGAGGGTGGAGGGAGAGGAATTTTCATGTTCTAAAAACTCAACAGAAATATGCTGGTATTGGAATGGGTGTTTGTGTTTTAAACGAATGTTTTTTACCTGGAAGCAACATAACTAATCTGTAGCTTTTCTGCTGTGGCTTCCAAGCTATCAGTTTTTATATTGCCTGTGATATTTTTGATACTGCCTGAAATGTCTAGAAAAATTGTCTTCTACAGGAATATTTCAAAAGCAGTTTGAAGAGGCTATGATAGTTTTTGAATTTGTGATGGAAGCAAGGGTGAAATCCAGCTTTCTATGTCAGGTAGAGAAGACATAACTTACAAGTTTGAGGATGCAAGAAATTAAAATCTTAGAAGCAGCTTATGAAGACATTTGCCCTGTTTTATGACCACATTGGTGCCTATACCTGTGTGCATTGTCAGGAGAAATTGTTAGCTTTAAAGACAAAGTCATCTGGATGAGTATCAAGTAGATGAGTCTGATGATGTCTTCTAGCTGAAATCCAGAATATTTATCTTGCTCTTTTCTGAAGAGTGAAGACAGGCTTTCACACTATATGATGTTGGGATATGGTCTAATGACGTGTCAGCTGGACCAGGGGAGTGTTAGCTGGGAAGTGCTTTATGCTGTATAGTTTATGCAAGAAGTTTTTGTGTCTTGGAGTAGTGTTAGAGGCAGGGAGAGTATGAGAGCAGGAATGGTAGTTTTGAGGATAGTTTTGAAGAGTCATGACAGCTCTTCAGTGAATGCATTATAAATTAGAAAGACATTCCATCTGCAAATATAGGGGAGATTATAAATATTTTATTGAAGTAGTGAATTGGGCAAATTACTGTGTCTTTTTTTTTTTTTTTCCCTTGGAATTAGTGTTTTGATATCTTTAAGCCTGACTGTGAAGGAGATTGAAGTCTTTTTTGTGATCCCTGTAACAGGTAGAGTCAACAAGTCAACCGACAACTTGCTATGTTGCATTACTGTAGGTTCTGATTCAATTTGTAATTTGGTGATTTAATTGTAATTTGGTGGTTGAATATTAAGGAGTGCAGAATTCTTTCAAATCAACGTGTTGTGATGGTGATGCTTGTTGTAGCCTGTATTACTGCTGATTCTTTCCCCGAAGTAATCACAGAATCATAGAATCATTTAGGTTGGAAAAGACCCTTAAGATCATTGATTCTAACCACTAACCCAGCACTGCCAAGTCCACCACTGAGCCATGTGCCTAAGTGCCACAGCTATATGGCTTTTAAAAACCTTCAGAGATGGTGGCTCAACCACGTTCCATAACGTTCAAATGCCAGAGGAGGAGTGTAACAGATATTTTCCATTACAAGATGTCTACTATGAAAGATCCAAGGCTTTTTTTTTTTTTCTGTTCTCCTTGGAACTATCATACGGAAGTGTGCTGTTGTATCCCAATATTGGTTATAGAAGATTTGTTAAGTTGGGGTTGGTTAAAATTTCATCTCTTCTCTGAATATCCATGTGTTATATGTGTTAAGACAATTATTATAGGGAAACATCTTCCATTCCTTTGATCTCTGGTGAACGCCTGTGAATATATGAATATAGTCAACCAATAGAACCACTTTTAAATACATTTTAATTTAATATAACTACCTTCTGTGAGGAATGTGCCTGTAAATGGTGAATACGATCAGATATTTGAGTTTGCAAAAACTTTTGAGCCCTTTTGTATGATGGTTATCTTTCTGTTCTGGGTTTGTGCAGCACAGCTTATTCCTGGTCTGAGTATACAGTTCTACAGTGATATTGCGATGGGAATAATGGTAAAAGCCATAGAAAAGAAGAGCTGATACTTCTGAGCATAATCAAGTCTGAGCCCACACTGATCAAAGAAGAGTGGTAGTCTGTGTGTTTGCTATGGTGCAATGGAAAAGACTCAGAGAATAGTGAACATCTCAGTGTTTTACAGTTAATGCACAATTTATTTGTATTGTTTTTCTGGACACCGGTGTATTAAAGTTCTTGAGAGATCAGAATGTTTCTCCTGTGTGAGTCTGCTATCCCAGTAATATTGTTTTGATTTCTTTGTACCACTGAATTGGCATACTGTGTTCCCTGATAGAGGTCAACATTTCTGCTTGTATAAAATGGCACAGTTCCATTGAAGTTCAGAGGTCTTCTTACCATGGGACAGATCAGTGATTTTCCTCAGAGGAGGAGAAGAAATAATACATGTTATTTAGAGGAAAAATCAAGTGAACCACATAA